TACCTCATCTGCACCCCACGTACTGACCAAGGCATCACAGGGTGGCGCGGAGGAGGTGTTGGGCGATCTTGGTGTGAGGCAGGCGATGAAGAACATGCCCAAGGCAATGCTGTAAAGGACTTTCAACGTCTTAGTAGGGGGAACCAACCCGTCGCGAGATTTCCCCGTTCAGCCAAGATCAACACATTCAATACCCTCCATTCATACCATGCCCGCTTATGATACCCCCGACATACCGTGTGACATCGAGCAGAACACGGATACTGAATTCACAGACAATCGGCAGCCCAAGGACGAAAGTAGCAGGAAATGCAGTGAGCAACGCCAACATCGTCGGCAAACCGGTGACCGGTCACGCCTAGGCCATGACTTTTCTCTATGAGAGTCTAGTAAGTGGCGAAAACCGACCGCGACGAGAAGCTAACAGGGCACGCGGATATCAAGCCACGTCCCCGTCGTCGAGACCACCCAAGACAAACTTTTTTTTCCGAGGTAAAACCAGTTGACAGACGAAAATCCTCCTCTTCTGATCCCCCTTCCAGACGCACACCGTTCCTATAAAGGCATAATCGTTCGTGCTGACCATGGTTCTGAGACTGTATGCGAAAATAACAGCGCGAAAAAAGCGACGGACAAGGCCGGAAAAAGAAAAAGAAATAATCCCCGCAATATCTGATCGAGGATATCCTAGATGGTGCGTTTCGCAACCGATGCGACCCACGTGGTGCCAGCCGCTTGCGCGCATGGCCATCCACAAGAAAGGGAGTATATGGCAGCTCACTCTCTCCTCCGCACTCAACAAGCAGGCCGCCGGATCGTACAAGTCTCGACGACAAGCCCTCTTCTTCGCTCGCAATGAGAAGACGGGGCCGCACTGGCGTGCGTTACATCATCGAAGTCGTCTCTTAGTTGCTAGGGCACTCGGCCTGGACGTGGCCGGGCTGCTGGCACTTGTAGCAGATCTTCTCGCCGGTGGAAGAGCCCTTGGGGCAGTCCCTGGAGAAGTGGCCGGTCTCGCCACAGTTGTAGCACTTGCTTCCATTCACGCAGTCGCCTGTGTCGTGGAGAGAAAGGTCAGCATCATTCACCGGCGCCGAGGATAAAGAGGCTTGACTTACGCGACATGTGGCCGATACCGCCGCACGAGTAGCAGGTCTTACCGCCACCGCCGCCGCCGTACGAGCCGCCGCCACCGCTGTAGCCACCGCCGCCACCGTAGCCGCCGCCGCCGCCACCGCCGTAGCCGGCCGCCTTGCTGCAGTTACGGGCAATGTGACCGACCTCGCCGCACTAGAAACGAGTTAGCTAAGGAACACAAGCGGAAAAAAAGCCGATGTGGGTGGACATACCTTGTAGCACTCGGCGCCAGACTGGCCGCCACCGCCGCCGCCGCCGCCGCCACCGCCACCGCCACCGCCAGACTGAGGGCAGTCGCGGGAAATGTGGCCGGGCTGGCTGCACCTGTAGCAGATCTTCTGCTCCTTCTGGCCCTCAGGGCAGTCACGGCTGATGTGGCCCTCGCCACCGCAGTTGTAGCTATATCACAATGTGTCATCGTCAGCACCATGCGTCTCCTGTTGACAAGCCGAGGGTCCAGAGCCAACTCACCACTTGGCCGCGCCACGGTTGGGGCAGTCGCGGGCCTAGAATCTGTGTCAGCATGATCCAGAGTGACAGCAAGAATACTCTCCTGGACTCCGAAACACCGGCCGCCGCATCGGTTATCATACCTGGTGGTTAGGTTGCCCGCCTAAAACATTTCTCGTGGTCAGACTTCTCCCCTCTCAACAACAACGACTCAGGAGAAACGGTGATAAAAGTTCGAGGCGGAAATGCCTAGAGTACAGCTCTTAGAACTGGGCTCATTGCAACATGAGTGTGCTGATCGAAAAGGTATTCGGGCCATCAATGCATGCGAGGCTGCGGAACTTTTCCTTGTTGACAGTTGCCCAGATGATGGGCTGAGAGGGATGGAAGGAGATGGTGAACACGACGTCGCGTGAGGAAAAAAAAACTTTCGACCGGTGACCCCACCACCACCCACCACTGCCAGAAGCAGCCAGTGCCCGGGGGCAAGAGCAGAGCCTCCATTGAGCGCTGGAGGCGGCGGGGGCCGAGACGGACAGGAAGGAAGTTCGAAGACAAACAGAGAGCGACCGAGGCCCTCGCGAGGTCCGGTGTGCGCGCAAATGAGGAGCAGCGAAAGAGGGGTAGAGAGGCAACAGGATGAAGCCACGCGCGTGGGAAATGATGTGCTTTACTTCTTTCTCGAGTCGCATCGAGACCACCGAGGGGTGGAGGGGAACTTACAGGTGTAGCAAGCACGGCCGCCGCCGCCGCCGGTCTGAGCGCCTCCGAAAGAGTCCATGTTGTTGGAGAGGTAGGTTGGTTGGGTCTGTCCTAAGAGGCGACGATGATAGGTCAATGGCTGGGTTCTCGAACAGGACCACGAGTTTGCGCGCGCGCGTGCGAGGCAGGACGGTTGAGACGAACGAGTTTGCGCGATGAGTTAGAGTGCTGGTGGTGTATTGATGAGAGATTGGTCCGGGCGCTAGAGGAAAAGAACGAGAAAAAATCCTCTCTTATTTCCGCTTTTCTCAGAGGCAGTCGGATTGAGGAGGAGGTCAGGTTGCTTTTGGAGGGTGGCGTGGAAAATGTGTGCGTGGGCGCAAAACGGCAATTGGAATTTCAAGGTGGGGGGGCAAAAGACGTTGATGTGGGGTAGGAGGTGGACGTGCCTTCCGATGAAGGAAGGAGCGCTGGGGTCCAGGGTACTTACTACTTTGACGTGAATGGTTCTTCAATAAGCCCGGATGCTTCGCGGCCTCGTAGTATTGGAGAAAGGCCGGATGGGTGCGTCTGTTAACTCGGTTCGCGTCAAGGCGAAAAAGAGTCGCGCGGAGGTTGGCGTTTCGATTTGGGTTGGCTGGTGTTGATCGTGGTCTTGACGATTGCAAGCAGTAGGGAAGAAAGAGAATGTTTGGGAAGCGGTGAGGGAAGGCTGGGAGGCGAGACTGGAGGCTTTTGTGGTGTTTTTGTACCCAGTAGGGCTTTGGCTTGTCGGATGGGAGGGAGTGAGGGAGCTTGCGGCTTGCCTGCCCGCACTAAGACCCGTCGAGCGAGGGGCGAGTGGATGGGGCACCCAATTTTTTTTCCCTAACTTTTCTGCCGTTTTTTTCTCCCCCTCACCTCGAACTACCCTGCTGAGGAGATAGCCTAACAGGGCAGGTACATTGGCTGCAGAGGCAAAGTTCCTCCTATCATGCGGGCACTTGCGGATCAGAGAAGTACAGGGCTTGTGCCTCGGGGTAGCCAGGCGGGCGTGGTTGGTTCATGCCTGCCAGTCGGTGGGTTCCATCCTTTCAAATGCAGATAACAGGCATGCGACAGGTCCGAGGATTTGCAGGAGACCCAGACTGGGGAGATGAACCCGGAGGCCAGGCTATCACGAGCACGAAGCATGCAGGCTCCCCCATCCCACCGCGGCGGCCACCCCAGGGAGGCGCCGTACATCAAGACGGAGCTCGCGACTGCGGGCTCTCAGGGGCGGGTGAAATATAGCCATGGGCCCATTTCGACGGGCACGAAGACCGTCGTTCTGCGGCGTCACGTCTCAGAATACCGCAGGGAGGGCTAATCTGCAAGTTTGGCATTACTCGTGCGGGCTAAAAGCGCCTGCAATTTAACGGTCCTCCGGAGTAAAGTGCGGCGGGGCAATTCGACGTTTTCGGGGCAATTCGACGTTTTCTGTAACATTTTCCCCA